TTACACAAGGTTGTTAGGTAGGTTATTCTCTCTAGCCTTACTATATCACGTGAGTATCAAATTTTGGAAGACCTCTTTATGTATCCTAAAATTTCAGTTGTCAACTTTCTGATTTGTAGGTATAAGGGTTTTTTTTTATTTCCATTTTCATCACGACTATGTTGTTAGTCAAATAAGGTATTCTCAACATCCTTCTGTAGAACACCACTTCTGTTGTCTGAAGCCTCTTCTTCATCTGTGAGGAAATACTCCAGCATTAATTACCATATAAGAGGATCGATATTACATAACAGTTCAGAACTCTTCTTTGTTCCTAACAAATTTTACCGTTTCTTAATACCTTACTTAGCTTCTTTCGCTATTCCAATGCACCGTCAGATTTTGGTGTCACGTTTTCCGTTCTCTTTTTAAACACTTCCCAGATATTTAAATTTTAGAATCTCCAATTCATAATTCGCATCTCAGGTTGTTCCTTTTACTGACAAACATACACACTGTCTTCTTGCAATTTATGTTTACTCGTTTCACCAACTCATTTCCATAAAGATTTTTCTTGTCTATTCGCAGTTTCTGATTTATTCATGTAACATTATAAAAAAATAAGAGTAAAAGATTTTTGATGGATTTACATAAGTACATCAATACAAAATGATGAAAAAAGCTTTTTACACAAAAATATTTATATTTTCAATCTCCTTTGTAACCCAACACTTTTACAGAGAATATTTCATATTAAAATTCAGCATCGAGTTAGGGTAGACTTATTGATCTATCTTCGTAGGTTTGTAACTTGATAATTTTGCTCAGTATTCATTTACAAAACCCACAGCAATATGGTGCGAATTTCTTTTCAAATTCCTACTGAACAATTCATAACCGAATGATGAATTCAAAATGTGAAAAGGTGTCAAAAATGAATTATAAATATTGCATGAGAAAATATTGCAGACAAAAAAAATATTGCAGCAAAAAAAAAAGAAAGAAAAATGGCTGTGTAACCGATTCTGAAGATAAAATATTAACACAGCAGTTTTTAATTTTTAAATGAAAAATCAAATTTATTTTCTGTTTATCTAGAAAATTGATTCTCTCGTGTTTTAACATTGAAGAATTCAGAAACAAAATTATCAACTGTAACAGAAAATTGCATATAAAGTTCTTAGCAACAGTGACATTTAATAGGTTCGTGTTTAAAAGATGAATAAAAATTGTTTGAAGTTATGTCCTGCAGCCTTGATTATATGTATTGCCTTATAAGAAGGAAAATCGAACTCTCTCTCAATAATTGGTCTTGTGCTTTTGAAATTTGTAATGTTCTTGTCAATTAAACATAAACAAATTTTATATTCTATCAAATATAAGTATGAATATTAAATTTATATAGAATATATTTTAATTGAAAAAGAATAAAATATATTTGAAAATATTGGCTAAAATAAAACATTATAAAATATTTAAAAAAAACTGCTTGATTATTTTCGTATTTTTTAATATGAAAATAATCAATAGTTTCTTTTTATTACATATCGTCCTCTATTGAATAAACGGTCAAACAAAAACTTTGAGATTTAAATATTTCAAATGGATTATAAAATGAATTTAACTGAATTAACTACTCTGGATATGTTTGAAACACCGATAGTATTCTAATCCAATTAATTTTATTTGTAGACATTGGGAGAATGATATTTCTGTTTTTGACTTTTCTCAAAGGTTTGAATGAGATTAAATTTATTAAATATTTGTCTTACGAAAAGCAGAATCTTTTTCTATAACAAGTTTTGTAAAGTAATGAAGAAAAAAAAGAAATCGAATTATTTAAAAAAAAACGCAATTAAATTATTTCAAGCTTTGTTTTTAATAAAATAAATTGTTTCTTTTTAGTATGTTTTTCTTCCGTCGAAAAATTCTCAAAGAAATCATGTCATGTGACTATGACTAAAAATGAAACTAACTCGAGATAGATTTTTGAAAGTTTTATTGGCAACAACAAATCATATCGACACATTCAAGCAGCAGAAGGATTGGATAATGACCTTTGTGGCTTTACTGCACAACAGTGCAACTTGGGCTGTTTTGTCTGATTCGTCCAATACGTATCAATAGCTCGACTCATATGGGTACCTTAAGTAACCTCAAGTAAGTCTTAATGACAAATGGGCCCTCATTAGTATATGATCCTTCCACTCGAAGAATTAATAGATTTTGAAGGTTTATCTTGATATTCATTAAATCAATCATTCTGAAAGAAATATTCCTGTTTTTCAAATTGAAAAGTTTCTACTTATCCAATAACTTTATTTTACAATTAAAACATTAAGCATATTTTATTGAAATTGGATGCAGCGAACTTTGCTAGAAACCAAAGCGAATCTTTTAATTAAAATTAATTCTTGACTGATAGAGTTGAAAATATTTATACTTTTGTATACTTTGGAAAAACTATTTTTAAGTATAGTCTGAAATAGATAATGTACGATTTCAGGTTGTAAAACAAAAAAAAAACATGATTTATTTCTTTTTGTCTTTCAGCTGAATAAGCATTTCTCATAAACTGGAAATGTTAACCGTGCCAGAAAAAAAAAACTTTTAAAAAAAAATTCAGAAAGTTTATTTCGGTGAATAAAAACTTCTTTAACAAGTTGTTTGCAGACAAACTCTAGCAACTGTTTTGTTATGCACACAAACTGAAATGATTATTTTTCTCAGATGAAATCGTGCACTGTGTGTTTAGTGCTATTTATTGCTTAAAATCGATAAAGTAACCTTAAAGAGATGTGTAAAAAGAAAGAAACCTTAAAGCGATGGATAAAAGGAATGGAAAATTAATCTTCACTATTTTTTTTATTCCGCTTCTGTTATCAATTTGTTAATAATCCTGACAAATATGGAAAACGTCTTTTCACTGAAAGAAAAAAAAATTAAAGAAATATTTATGCTTTGTTTTATGATATTTATTATTAATTTTTTTATCCCCTAAACAGTTTATTTAGAAAATTAAGATCTTTTGGCCGATAATATTATCGGCCAAAAGATCTTAATTTTCTCGTTATTTGTCTAAAAATCGCTGTTCATCTAAAGCGATTTCGTTTACAACTCTGAATTTATGTCTGAAACAGATTCCTATGCGTGGTCATCAGATTGCGACCAATAGGCAGAGTTTCGACCATTTAATGCAATGACTCAGTCCTATTGGCTGGTCAACCCGTGGCGTACGACACACGAGTTCCACACAAAGGATATTATTTACAACTCTGTTTCCTACATAGCTGTTTAAATAATGATGTGTATAAGGACTTGTCTTTCATTAAACAAATTTTATATAACGTGTTTATTAGATTTATCAGTTTATTATTATTTATAGTTATATTAATTTAAATCATTATGCTGAATAATATTTGCACAAATAAAATACTAAAATCAGAAACCAAATATTTGGAAATGCCATATCGTCAGCGTTCCTGGACATAATTTTTTGCATTTCGTGTAATGCTTAAATATCGCTCAAGAGATGCAGTTCGAAATATTCCGTCTGATTTAAGTCGTGAATGACAAAAATTAACAATTCTTAAGATGTTGAAATATGCAAACTGCTGATAATATTATTTTATTCTGTACAAGTCAGAGAAAATTTAAAAACAATTAAAAATGACACAAGCTTCTTAAAATTAAAAAGAAAATTTCACCTATGTCCTCTGTTTGGTATGGAATCCTGCATTTTATTAAATAAATATAACGAAAAATAAATTAATGATTAAAATTTACAAGACCACTGTAATTGAAAATGGAATTTTTATTAACTCATCATCAGACTTGCATAATTTAATTCTTTTACTCAGACACAACGAACACAATGTTGTATATTTCATGTCTTGTTATCCAGGGAATCAGAAATTAACCACTTTCAATTGTAGACAAGTAATTATACATAGACACGTCCTTATACATAGACACGTCCTTATACATAGAGACGTCCTTATACGCAGAGACGTCCTTATACATAAAGACTATATCACAAAGATGCTAGATTACACTTATTCCAGTTCACATGTACAGTGAACGATTTGCAAATCTGAAATTGTGTATCTGTAGTGAAAAGAAGTTGCCATCATCATATTTTATCGCGTGACATCACAGAAAATATTTAATTGGTGCAAATTTAACAAGTGATTTGATATCAATGAGGAGCGGTAAAGTATAAAGTAGCATAGAAAATCTTTTGTTCATTTTTCTTTTTTACTGACATTATCACTTAATCAACATTATTCTAAAATGTTTATGCCTCATTCTAACAACTACGTTTTTTACAATTGTCTATAAGTGAGCTGATATTTATATTTACATTTTAGGTTGCTTTTAAATGTCAGCACATTTTCGTCTATTTTTATTTCATTTCACATCAAGTTGAAATTTTTAGCAATTCTCTCTTTATCATTTCCATTCTCAAAGTCGTAGCGAATACATATTAAGATGTAATATAGTAGTAAATAGAATTAAAATATTCAAAATGTTTTAAAGTGTATTTTGTGTTAAAACAGACAAGACAAGAACAAAAAAAGAAAATTCAATAAAAATTGTTGAAAAGTCTCGAGGATAATCTTTTATATTTCTTTTAGCTAATAACAAAGGAATAAAGATCGATCATTCAGGATCGATGGATGAAGTCATTGATTATTCCTTGTTGTAGTTTTTCCCTACAGTATTCGATGTCCGTGTCCGTAAATCAGAAAGCAGACAGACGTATAAACAGACATACATTGGTTCAAACGAGAAGCAAACAATCCTGAAAATATGAACAACTGGGGTGGATCTGCTTGGATCTATTCGGGTAGAAAACAGGTGGGTCGACGCTTCGGGATTTCTAGGTCGGCAAGATGCGGCGTCCATCTTGGAAAAGTGTTGACGAAAGGGAAATCTCGAAATGACGCAGGAGAGACAAATTTCTTTAGCACCATGGATTGAGGCGGCTTTTAAACAGCGGGCAGTCAGTGAGGCTTATGCTACACATCAGACTCTCTGAAAGTAAAAATTACAGTTATAACAAAAATTGTTAAGCAATTCTTTTTTACATTGTGTACAGTTAACGTGTTTCTTACTGACAAGATTCGTTTAACACAACGACTTCTTTCTCTAGGATTTTTATCAATTCAATATTGGTAATTAATAAAAGATATATAATCTAGACTGGACATCCCTCTGCACTAAAAATGTTATAATCAGTGGTATATCATGAGGCTAAACAAAATTTCGCTAAAATTTATTTAAAGATGATCTTGCGTTACATTTTGCATCATAATGTCTATATGATGCAAAATGTAACACAAGATCAAAATATGCATCTCCATTGTATGACTTCACCATAATAAAAAAGGGCAAAAATATAGAATAAAATAACCTTTTGTAACAGAAAAATATCACAGAAATATGAGGAAATTTTTTTGCCTTAGTAAGACATCGTAAATATAAATATTATATAAGCAAATTATGGAATCTTTCAATTGTGCGTTTAAAACACAACTTTTGTGAAAATTTTAGAAAAAGAAAACTTCTTTTTTTATTTTGCTATTCAAAATTTTCGTACAATAATGGGGACGATCTCGACTCTCATTGTTCAAAGCAAGAGAAAAAAATGTGAATGCAGGCAATCAGAAAAGCAAAGAATAAAGAACAGATTCAATTAAATTGATTGTTTTCATTTTAACTAATTTAACTAGTAGCGGAGATAAATAATGAGGATCGTCAGGTTTTTACAAGAGACTTACAATGATTAAGTCGCTGGACTTGTAAACACAGATTTGTAACAATGGACTAACGCTTCTTCTATCAAGTAAACATTAAAACTGTTAGTATCAAATAATGTATTCCGCTTATAAATTCCGCTTTATATAATTATTTGCTGACATAATGTCACCAGTCGCTACTGAATGTCAAAAATGTTACAAAAGTGATTTTATATTATTTACACTATTTACGTCCGGACGTCATTTTGTTGTTGCTCTCATAACGTCTCGGCCATTGTGCCCTTTGGCCTTCTTCAGGTGTATGTCTATCCGGGTAACCTATAGAGAATTTCGAACTGAACCCTTTATTTAATCTAAGGTAGGGGTAGATTTTTCTCGTTCCACTGCACATGCCTAGGGATATGTCGTCTTGTTCTTATTTTAGTACTGTTTCTCCGTTTCCGCTGAGTACATGTTACCCAGCCCAGGGATTGAACTCACAATTACCATGTCACCAAAGTCAATTTAATCCAGTAGGCTATTATCCAGTAGGACAATTCTATGTGGATAATTTGAACCCTTAAACCTAACAAGCTTGCTGATCAGTGATGCAGCTGCTGCTTGTCATGCTTGACTGCATTCATTGAAGCTTCTCTTTTGATATAGCTGCTGTTATCATTTGTCTTCATTTCTTTATTAGCAGTTCTCATATTGTATTTATTTCTATGTTAGGCCTACTAAGGGGTCATCATAGCTTAGTATATGCGCTGATTGTTTTAGAGATCTAACTCTATAGTGTTCATCCTTATCCAGCATTTTCACTTCATTCCGTAGTGACTGGTAACTAATCTTTTCCCTCTATATATGATCAACCATGCTTGATTTTAGTGTCTGCTCCACACTACGGCTTTTCGATGTTCCTGTAGCCTTACTTTTAGAGAGCGACTAGTTTCACCATTATATTATTTGCCCCAACTACAAGGAATCGAGTACACACAGTTCTTGATCATGTTCTGCCCCAGACTCAGCAGAAATTTCTCCGTAGAGTGACGCTGCTTCTAATGTTGTGTGGACCGCAGATCTTTTTAATCTTTTCCGATAAGCCCTTGACGTACAGCAGACAGACAGGCAATATTCTGGTTCTCTTCCTTGACCCTTCGGTTTCCACCTGCTGACGCTGTAAATTGCAGGTTAGTTTTTATTCTGAAGGGTACCCTTTATGTTGATCATTTCGTGTTGGTATGTGTCTGGGTCGCCACTTAAGATTTTGTTGGGGCCAAAAATAAAGACACAAAGGGAGGAATTGTGTTAAATATATTAACAGAAACAGTAATACAAACATATACAAACAAGAGTGTTCGGTCCGACTGTAAGAGCTGATTGCTGGAAACTTCCCTCTTTAGAAGGCAGTACCTGCTCCTAGTTATAACTGATAGAGTCCATGGTTGCGTGAGTAAATTACCGTAACAGATTTTTGCATGTTGTTTTAGGCATCGGACGGTCCTTTTTTTTTCGCAATCTATGGATGATGGGAATTGAAGTTGCGGTATTGTCCATTGGAGGGTAGTTTGTGATAATCGAATGACTGGAATCCATTCTCCGTGCAAGTTATTAGTACAACTACGAAGTCTAGCTAATTATTATTTTCTTCTTCCATTGTGAACTGGATCGAAGTCTTATGGATTTTTTAAGTTTACATGGTCCACAACTTCCTGGTGAGGTCAGAGTATAAAGTTGTCATCTACGTAACTCAGTAATAGTGTCGACTTCAGTAATGCCGTTCCTAAAGCCATTTCATCGAAATATTCTATGAATATGTTCGCCCTCACTGGTGACAACATTGAACCCATAGCCGAATCTTCCTCCTGTTGATATATTTCAGAATCTACAGGTAACGTCAACATTTCCATCAGATTCTCTATTGGAATGTTAGTGCGTTCTCCAACCGGTTTCGAACCACTGTCAGGCCTTTGTTTTATAATATTCATGAAAACGATGAACAAAAAACTTCATGATTAAAAAGAAAACGGTTGATTGTAGAGCTCCATTCATTATGCGTTTGGGCTATTAAGGTATGAATTTGTTTTATCAAGTCGCCATCTGTAGATAGATTGCTAACAAAGACTGAAGAGTTTCTACCTTCCCATTAGCATACTAACTAATTTTGAATTCAGAGTTGTCCTTCTTTCAGACACCAAAACAGAAATCAATGTCATTAACACTAAAATGCTAATGTCTGACATTGACTACAGGCAACAGAAAAGGATTGATACCTTTATTTTTCCAAGGGTATTTCTGAGAAAACAAACGTAACGAATTCTGGAATCCGAACTCTGTTCGATGATTTCACTTTCTGAGCCGCTTTAACTTTTATACCACCTACTCATCCACTTCTTGATTATGTTTATTCTGTTCCTTGAATCATTCACTATCATCAAATATAAATGTATATTTTGAAGTATTGACTTCTTGTATATACACCCCTACGTTGGATAAGTATCAAACAAACATGTTGAAATTTCTCTATACGTGAAAATAAAGAAGAAAAATAAAGATCAGTTTCATCACATCAAAGCGCCAATGTTGCTAACCAACAATCTTGGGATAGGAACATATTACACGATATTATCTTTTAATAACATTACGTAAAACGTTATTAAATATGTTAACATTATCTTTCCCTTATTGTAAAACGCATAAGTGATTAATGAAAATAATATTAAGAAAGATAACAAACCTGGAAAGGTTGCTTTGCTTTATTAATTTGACGCTGAAAAAAATAGAAATGTAAAATGCAAATTGCATTAATGTAATAAATCATTTTATTTAAAACAAGTTATATATATATATATATATATATACTAGAAAACAAAATTTTGGGGTCACCCTCAGTATTTAATAATAAGTAAGTTTCACACCTTCTTTGGTTTAATTAACCCCAACTAATCTAAGTTACTGACACTATTTTAACCATGTGCATGGCGTCTTTTAGAGAGAATGTTAACTAAAATTTAAAATCCGCCAGCCCTATGATTGCTATTAACCAGCAAGGTAGATTAGGCAAGAGCTAAAATTTTAAAGAATCTTTATGCAGTAATGAGTTAATTTTGTTGTTATTATTATTATTGAATAATTTCAGCAAGTGAAAGACCATCTGACCCGAAATGAGCTCGTAAATTAATTTTGAAAAAGACACGTAACTTTCAATTTTTAGGAGATTCTTCTAATCCAGAGGGTGGCCCCAAACGTTTGACCTTTAGTCTATATAATATGAATTTCACAACAATTACCCAAGTATCTTTTCGCAAACTAACTTTACACAGTTTGTTTCGTGTTATTTTTCGCGTGAATATTTCTGCTTCATCAAAGTCAATTTTCTGAAAGCGTTTTTCTTAAATTATCTGTGTTAACCCAGAAAATGTGCATTTCATTCAAAAATGCCAAATTGGTAATTTGGTCGGTGAGTAGAGTTTAATGTTGAATTGGTATCAAAGATTCGTTTGCATTGAATTTCAAAAAACGAACAATTAAAGACAACCAAGAAAAAAACGAAAATTGTTGCTCAAAACCGAAAACGTTGTGCAGACAAACAGTGAAATTTTGACTAAATACAAGTTTTTAGTTACTCAAAAATCCAAGTAAGAATATTAAAACTCAAACACGAACAAAACCTTAACAAATTTTATCGCATCATTGGAGACAGTTTTGTCAGCCTTTTGTGATTAAAATGAAATTAAACTGATGAAAACTTGTGCTGTATGAACTTTGTTTTGTTCTCATGCATAACATAAATTAGAAAACTAAAAGAAAATTTCAGAATCTACTGAAGTTGGATTTAAAAGCTCTTTACCTGTTATTTTTTTATATATTTTAAACACTTACACATCTTAGCACTCTCGAATAGATGTTCATCGATTAACCAATATAATGATCAATTAGATACCAGAACAGAAGTCGATGTAATTAACACTAAATGTTTAAATTATCAAGTGATTTCCAGTCTGTTTACAAATAAACAGATAATACTTTATATCCGCTTTCATTTCATCAAAGGGCATCTTTCTTTAAAATGTCTCTTGCCAAAAGCAACAAACAGAATTACAATTAGTCGTGTTGAAAATGTTTCAATATTTTCTGTCATGAAATTTGTATCTTTAATTCAACATTTCCCATAATTATTTAATATTTTAAGCGTTCCATTTCTGTATGCCGGACTTTTGATTTATAATCTCTATTAAACAAATGGGCAGACAAGTAAAAGTTTGAAGAAATATTAAATATAAATAAAACATAGGAAATAGTTTTACGTTTCAAAACTTAGAAATCTAACAAAATTGACTTTAAAAAATATTGACGTACAAAAATAATCAATATGAAATTTGAAAGAAGTGATTAGCCATGCAGGAGTGAGTGAAGCAAGTGGAGTCAGCAGTATTGGGGAAACGAACGTTTAATTAGTGGAAGTAAGTAAACTTGTTAAATGAAGGATTACGAAAATCACAAAAGACATGACATCAGACATATTTTTTCTATATAGGAAATTTAATAGACGAATAACTTTGGAAATACAAACTATTATTTCCGATAAATCTGTACTTTCTTGTTGAAATGAAATAACTTTTAAGAATATTTCCCAGAATTTTCGAAAAGTATCTGTTTTTAACTCCAGTAAAGTTTAAAGAAATATTTCATCAACAGGAATAAAATAAATCATTGAACTTGGAGATAATAAGTCAGTTATTGGTGCTGAATTTAGTGGGTTTTTTTTTAAATTTCCGTATGCATTTCTCGGCTCTTGTTGCTTGATCTGCAAAAATGTTGCATCAAATCTTTTGCTAATTTTGCTAATTTTACAAGTTTTTTTGGATAGAAAGTTTTTGTGTTAGAGATTTTACTTGTATTTTTTTCTTTCATATCTTCATTTTCTACTCATAATGGACTTGAGCAGTTATAAATTCCAACCGACTGTAACACTAAAATAAATGTTCAGTCAATGAATGCTGAATGTTTTCATATAAGGAAACGGCCAGTCTCACCATTATTATTACTATTTAATGCAATTTAATTGTCTAATATTTAATTAATCGCATTGACCGGACGTTTCAGAACAACAAAATCAGATCAATGTCATATACAGCGACTTACATGTCTATTAAAATATTTTTCTGCAAGTGTTCTTATATAAAAAATGTAGAAGTTCTTTGAAAATAGAATTGGCATTAAGTACGTAAATAGCAGGTTTCATATCAAGAACAATTATATTTTAGTTAAAGAAAAAATATGAACAATCTTTTTGTTACAGTAACTTGATACTCCTTTAAGCTTACTTCAATATTTCAGATTTTATGGATATTTTTATTACTTAAAAATACCATGAATTTGATTTAATAATTTTTTAAGAGACTGCTAAGTGAAGTCAAGGTAACATAGTAAATAACTTACATAGCACTGTATACGTTTTTAATCTGTCGTTTAAAAATATTTTCTTACTTTTTGGGAGTACACTGTTGCAGAAAAAATTACTATTTGGCATCGTTTTATCAATGTTATAAAACAAAATGTTATAAAATAGTTTACTCATTTTTCAATAAAACTTTTAAATGTTTGATATCTTTTCATTAAATATTATAGGACGATTTTTCATAGTTCTACAAACTAGAAATATTTTTGACATGTTAATTTGGATTTCTTTTTGCAAGTGAGAAATTTCGAATGCGTATTGATATCATTTAACTCATTCATGTTACCAAAACTGCTTACTGGATATTCTTGTGCCAAAAGAGCAGCTGATAAAGAGAGAATGGAGGAGGTAAAGATATGAAGCAACAAGCGAATCTGTTAGTAGCCAGACAAACAGTCGTGCCACTGATGGTAGATGTAATAAGAGAAGTCTACGAAGGCAGTATGTGCGCTGGCAGTGTTAGCAGCCTACACCAAATATGGCCACGACTTGCGTTCTATGTTTCTCAGCAACGGACCTCGCGAGTAGTTCTATTATTCCCTTTTCTCATGAAGACGAGAGTGTAGAGGCATCGCTATCAGGTAATAACAGTAGTTCGTATCCACACCCAGCCACAAATATGCTGACAACCTGCGCGTTTAGATGGATAAAGTCTTCAGTTGCACCCACACCAAGAGTAAATGCCTTCCCTTATCTATTTTCTTTTATCAAACCATCCTGGGAAAGTGTTTATGGTTAGAACTTGAATGATTTTTTCGGTTAATCTTACATCTTGACTCAGAATCAACAACATTATCACCATCATCATCATCATGATCATCATGATCATCATCATCATCATCATCATCATGATCATCATCATCATCATCATCATCATCATCTAGAGTAATCTTCTTCTCGCAAGAACACTGTCATTTATTACCAGATCTTTTTTATTGACACACCCAATTCTTAAGTTTATCATACTGTTACTATTTTTAGGCGATCATTTTCCTAATCGGTTACCCTTGAATGAACATAAAATAGTAAAGAAATTGAGTTACTTTATTTTACGGCTTAATTGGACTGGAAATTTATTTTACAAGTCAATATACAGTATACACTAACCTTTAATCAATTTATATGTTATAATGTGAAGTTGAAACTTTATAGTACAGGAATTAATTTCAGAATGTATTTTTATTTAAACTAAAAGCAGAAATGCCGATTCATTATTATTATTATTAATAGCAATAGAATTGATCACGTCAAATTGTGAATTATTTAGATAAACTCATTTCGCAACGTTTAATTATTTTTTTTTTATTTTTGCATTGACCGTGTCTTTATCGAGATCAACATTTTTTGAAAGCATAAAATTGTATTTTTTTTCTAATGGCGTAAATTTAAAACTGGACATTTTATTGATAATTATTAAGTTTAATTTATTCTACTACAATAGCCAGTCGTGAAAATCAGTATACAAAAACCTGGCTTTTTACCTACCCGGGCTTGAAACTGCATCATAGTGAAAGATAAACCGGGTAAGTTGTAATGTATTGTTGGTTTCTAATGATTGCTAATTTGCTTTCATTAATGTAGGTGAGGAAAATGGAATCTACGATCCGAGTTCAAATTCCCACCCAATCTGTTGCGTTCACTTGCCTATTAATATCCTTCTTTCCACCTCAGCTATGTGTAAAATACGAGGGTAGACTGGCCTCTCTACCCTTGGGTGGCAGCCAGTCTCGGAGATGAACTACTGTGAATTCAAAACCGCCAAAAAAGAAACACTCCACTAACTTTCATGGTAATTCACATATAATAAGCAAAATGAATCTGTGGAGAGTCAGGATCGCCTCTGATCCTAAAGGGATAGCATTAAAAAAAGTATTAATATTATTTCAATATTACAGACATAATTTTATGCTTCTGTGGAAAAAAAATTGCTGAAGAGTTTCAATAACTTGAATGTTTTAGCATTGGTGTTATTATTATTATTATTATTATCATCATCATCATCATCATCATCATCATCATCATCATCATCATCTAGCCAATGCAATCCAACCCTTACTTCATACCATTGTAAAAGCCTTCAATGTAATTTATTTCTAATGGCAGCAATGATATTTACATGAAAGGATTTGGAGTTCACAAGGAACATTGTTTCTGCTATAACATATCGAAAATATTTCCCATTAGTACAAGCAATGCTAGCATGTCTTTGTCTTTCTTCTTACATTCAATGTACACTTGCATCATATTCCGTTCATTTTTTAACGGGTCTAAAATAAGTTGTGAGGCTTAGACTTACCGTTAACTTGTATGTTTAATAGCCTTACTCTTGGTAACAAATGACATATATTTACCGTACACAGGAACTAGACACAAACAAGTCACGTGACGAAGGAATAAATAACGGGCCAATTGAAATATAAAGAGAATTGTGCATAAAGGTGAAGCTGCGCAAAACCAAAGGGTTAGAGTAAAGACCATAGAAAAGGTAGAAAGTAAGTAATGATGGTGCCCTCTACAAGTCATTTACCAGCATTTAGCGAAAGAGAATGCTTGCAAAAATGTAATAAAATTTTCAAGATTATCTCTTCGCCTCTCACAAATCACTGCCAGGCAAGCTATAAAGAACAGGTTGGCTCATCCGAGGACCAGCAAAATATGGGGTAGGCCGGAACATTCCAGGTTTCTTGAACGCGTATGCTTTTGTTCTGTGGTCTACATCGGAACAGTAGCCACTGGCATCGTGATAAGGGTCACCAGGGGACACAAGTCGCAGCTGGTCGGAAGATGAGCGGTAGTGGACAGGAAGCTGTTCGTCACCCATCGATAACTTGGGTCTGGGATTAGATTTCATGCATTTGCCAGGTTTGGGAGCAACGGGTGGAGGAGGGCCTTTAGTTGATGATGGTTGAAGAGACTGAGCCCGTGGAGGGCGTGCTGGAAGAGAGAATAAGAGAAAAAAATTAGTAGATGCGAAACAAGATGCCGGCAAAATTCATCGTCAGTGATTTGATGATTAGTTCTTTATCGAGTTGAACCCTATAAAAAAAGATTAAATTTTTTTTGTATCTCCAAAAGATTACTACCATAGTCCTGAAACGCACTGTATTTCAGCAGATCGACTCACATATAAACTGATTGAGCATCTGTCAAAAAAGTGGTTGCGATCAAGTTGGGGTCATCAAGAAATAGAGAAGACGTACGCTGTAAATGCAGGATACACGAAATATTCAAATAGTTCTGGTTACTTAATAAATGGATCAATCCTTTAGAAGACTACGAAGCAAATACATGGTTTTACTACTGGCTTGATTATCACATATACATTTGTATTTAAAGTAACCTTAAGATAAAAGTTTCTAGTGATATTCTAGCGAGAAAACAGGGCAAATGACAGGGAAAATGAAATTATTAAGAAGTTGGTTTCCTGCTCCAACTAAATTGAAATACGTTGGTAGAGCTGACTGGGCGAAAATGAATATAAAAATCAATTATGTTAAATTAATATATATATTCTAGGAAATATTTATGTTTATTGAAATAGGATTTTACAAAAGCGAAAATATGTGGTGTATTTTTGCTCTTGTGATTTTAAGTAACCAAATAAAAAAGAAATAAAAATTTCTTTAACGCATAGAATTTTCGAGATTGAATAAAAGTGGAAAAAAATCGAAATTTCCTAAGTAGTTAACTCAATGGGTAATTTTCGCCACCATATCTAAATATATAATCATCTAATGCGTATTTATTTGTTCATTTAAATTATGAATAAAATAACTAACTTCAATATTTATTCAATTTAGATTCAGTATAGAGACTGATAGTAAACTTGTCTAGTTTGTAATGAAATTGCGATGATTGAAACACAATGAAATTACATTGTTGACTTTGTGACCTAAATATGATTGACAGGAGGGGAAAATGTTATACTGAAAATAAAGAGAATGGAATGTTTTAACAGAAACACTGACATCACAATAAAAGGACACAGAAATAGTTTACTTTGTCCTCTTCGGAATTATTTTTATTTAGTTTTAAACGAAGTGATTATTTCATTAAAAGATGCAATCGGGTATTTAAGAAAATTTCATCAAAACAATTCACAGTCACTGAAAGAATAATTGTATCTAAAAATATACCCGCATTTTTAAACAACAATGTATGCATTTGAATACACTTGTTGTTACGTGTTCAAATTAGACATCGGTACTAATAAGACTATTGGGAAAAGATTTGTAGATGTCTGTTCAAACTTAACCACCTAAAATATGAAGTGAGTATCACATTTCAGTTGAATTCAAACTCAACTGAATCCAAAGAAAATTTCATACGGCAAAGCAAACATATATTCTACCGAAATAGACTGTAATCTAAAAGATTAATCTGATGAAAAGCCTTCTTTATAAGTAATGCCAAGTTTGTCATGAGCAAATGTCGAGACATCCAGCAAAATCTTCACTTGGTATTTTGTTTAGAATTCTTGTCATGTATGAAATAAATTTACTTACTTATGAATTCCTACCTACTTTTTAAAACTATTTAATGTGATTTATTTCTGTTCTTATAAATAGATAAAAATCACATTAAAAGCATCTATTTTAGAATGAGAAATATGGAAACAAGAGTTAAATTTGTATCAATTTATCCATTAGAAACAACAAGCGTTTGAGTTTTAACTTGACATGTTTAAAAGAGGAAACTGTATGGGACTAAGCGTGTTTGATACGGAACAACATTTAATGACTTTTGTGTTAGTAATTTTATGAACATAACTAAAGCAGTATTTTAATTTGGTTGTATCTGAAAATCAGATCGCATATTGACTGCTAGTGTTAATAAAATAGTGCTCGGTGTAATATAACAGAGCTATTAAGTATATTAATAAATATACATATGCTTCCTCACTGGTAACACAACTCTGAGTTTCATGCACAACGCATTCCTCAGGCGCTGAGAAGATACTGGCCGTTACATAATTAAATAAAAAACAGTAATCCCCGTATAACATATGACTTGCACCAGCATTACATTAACCAGATATTTTTATTAAACCTTAATTATGTAACGGTCAGTCTTTACTCTGCACCTGAAAATTGCGTGGTGCATGGAACTCCAGGTTGTGCTACCGCCGACGAATTTTATATATATATATATATATATATATATATATATATAAGGTGCGATGGATAAACTGTCGTCTAAATTACTCGAAAGTGAAAATAATAATGACATCTCATTTTAACAGATATATTTACCAAAATTACACAGAAATATCTTGAAATACTAAAGAGTAAATTTATTCAATAAAATCGCCATTGGCTTCAATCACGGCCTCCAGACGACTTCGGAATCTCCTGCAACTCTGCAATTCAGTTCAAATTGGCAGCTGATCTAAAATTGAACTACAATCTGTTGTTAACTCTTGTAAGGAATGCCTTGTTATTTTTAACGCCTCCAAAACGAAAAATCTCTTTTTTAATCGTCTGATATAACCTTTCGTTGGCATTGCTGATGCTAACTTCCATAAAGCAACTCATCGTAGCTTCTCGAGCTAATGTTTTCCATTGATATGAAGTGGAAAGATTATATTGAATGAATTGCTAGCTCTGCTGCTGCTGCTAGAAAAGTTGGTTCACTGTATCGTGCGACATAATCTAAAGTTATGTATGGACAAATGGTTGCCTTATGAATGTGCTTATCACATTTATAAGTCTAGAATTTGTCCAGGCATTGAATATTACTATATTATTGCTTAATAATACTTAAATTCTTGATTTTAAAAAAACAAAAAATCTGCAATGTTATAGGTCATGACCTAGCATCTCGGCTTCAGTCACTTACTCACCACCGTAACGTGATTTCCGTCTGGCTTTTTTTTATAATTATTTTGAGGGTAATTGTTCTAATGAGTTTTCCTTTTTGATACCTAGACTTTATGAATTTAAGCGCAGTACGAGATTGGCAGCTAGGTCTCATTTTACAGTTGAAATGGCTAAATGTATCCGTAAGTTCTATGCTAATATTTTCTTCTATCACTTTTCTCGCTTGTGCAACTCTCTTCCGGTTTCTTGCTATCCAGTTACATTTGATCTTCAAAAATTAGAATGCAATGTCCATCGTTATTTCTATCTTCCTAATTCCTGTTCTGTTATTGTTCTCTCTCCTTAACACTGTTTTTCTTTTTCTCATATTCTTTCATACTTAATAATCCCATGCGTTTTAGTGGTTTTATTGCCTTGCTTGAGATGAAATAATTAAAGAAAAAAACGATCGAAATTGTTGGGTTCCCTGGTGACACCATCTCATTCCCAAACAAGTAGAACCACAAACGCGTTTAATTTCGCCAAAATAAATAATTATACAAATAGGTACTTACACTGTGGCATAGTTGGAGCTGCTTTCCATCCCCTCGCCTTTCTGTTGAAATTCGGTCCGTCAACAAAATTACTTTTGAATTCCGCCTGAAGATCGGCATTGACAGTCGGTAATGGAACACCAACATGTTTATTCATTACGGGGGGATCAGGAACTGAAGGTTTCGGGGCAGGCTTCGGCTGGATAATGGGCATTGGTTTTGTTATCATATTGGCTAATCTATTCTGGGAATTCATCATGGTCAGAGAAGATGCACTTGTAGGTGGTTCGGACGGAGTTGTCGGGGCCGATGCAGCTTTTTTCTCATCGATAACCCATTTCTCGCATCTGGCTTGACGTTTGGCGAACAGCTTGGCACCGCGACCTTTACTGTTCTGCAGATCAGCTACAATATTCATGCAGGTGTTTGGATTGACTGCGGTATGATCAACTTTGGGCTTTGCTAATCTCAAAGTTTCAAATTCTTCACGTGACAAACTCATTTTTGGTGGGCTCTCTACAGAAACCTAGAAGAAAGTAAAACGAAAATTAGTTTTACCGAATACAATCTGTAAAAATTTCTATATTTGCATTCATCATATGACAACGCAAACATATATTGCTACTGCTACCAATGGATTGGAATCTAAGAAATTAATCTAATAAAAATATGATAGCGTTTTTCATATGTAGGAACAACTATCCCAGGTTAATGTAACTATCTTATCTCATTGAGAAAGTCGCTTGCCATAAGAAAATATAGACATTGCGCAAAAGATTCTCAATCAGTGTCTTGTTTAGACTTCTGTCTTGTATGAAACAAATTATTCTACTTATTAAATTATTTATTAATGCTTATAACTCAGATTTTTTTCAGTCAATTTGATCCTAAACTTGAAAAAATGAGAGAAATAAGCCTGCGGATTGTCACACCACGGATTATCATTCGAATTAAAATTATTTAAAAAGGATGTAGGAATAACTTCCTCGGATATCGCTTCTTATTCTTTTTCAATGTCATTAACGCAAATTTGAAACCAAATAGATTCTTGAACGAAAGTGATCATTGTTATCGTTATTCGTTCTTTTTCCTTAACATCAAATACTGCATAGGTTGCAATACAAACGCAAGGTGCGTATTTCTGAGTAGAGAGATCACAACTGATTCAGTTATCAAGTAAAAATCTCAGGAAGCAAAAGTACATTACGTTCAGATTCCATTGCAAATTAAATAATTCTTTTAAGAGCAAAACTCTTCACTTATTTCTTATACATTCTTTATTTTTATCTCAGTGACTACTGGAAAGGCGGTTTTGATTGGAGTCAGTTTTCTTGAAATTGACCTTTTTATGAAAATCATTTGCTATCAATATATTACAAATCTTAAAGTTTATTTCCTTCAAAACGGTTAATGAGATGTTTGCATTTTATCTATTTCCTCATTTTTACACGTAGTTTCCAAATATAATTTACTAAATTTAATGAGATAAAATATACCTGAATTTCCAACTCACCGACAAAAATGATTTAGTATAAATTTCTCTTTAAAATTTCAAAAATACCCACTTTCTAAACATGAATCGATCATATGCAAACTTAAACAACAGTACAAAAAATCCCTGCTGTTCATCTGATGGAAATATACGCATATAAGGAAAACAATTATTTACAAAATAATTAATGACAGAATCTTATGTTCAAATGAGATAAAACAATATTAACAGTATTTCACGAAACACCCACCTTACGAAAATGATGTGAACAGATTTTAGTGTGTTAATTCTTATTCAAAGCATTCTCCTGACGTTTGCTATCCAACTCAAAAGCAGTATAGGCAAAATAAACTAACCAAAAAAGATAATAACCCTCTAGAAATTTATACACGACAGAGTTCCTTTCTTAAAATGCGAAAACTTCATGTTAGATCGCATATAAAATCTTTCATCGACTATCGGCTGAGAAAATGGAATAGGCGTGTTGAGTTCAAATTTCGACCGAGTTTGTTGTGTTCACTTATGCATACTTTGGGATAGGTATGAATCAATCACTTCTCTTGAACTCACTCACTTCAACATAAACAACCTCCTGATCGACAAGCAGTATGGATTTCTCTCTTCACTGCTGTTGTCCTAACTGCTATCACACAAAATCAATAAAGAACTCGATAATAAATTCATCACGAGAACGATCACCTTAGTTATCTCAAAGGTGTGACATAGTGGATTGCTACACAAACTTTCCCGCTATGGAGATCACTCGCATTCGCCAAGTCCTTTCTGTTAGGTAGGTCCTTTCAATGGTCAGGCTTCTGAAGCCTATGAGATCAATGTGCTGGCGTCCTACATGGTTCACTAATTAATCCTACTTAATCTTTCTGCTTTATATTAACGATCTGCCTAAGAATATTCTCAGTTGTTAATAAATATATATGCATATGATATTACAGTATATGGGTGCAGTTCCAGAAGTTTATATGGGCCAAATGGAAGGGGTGGGGAACTGGCTTGCAACTTCAGATACCGCAAAAACCAAGCTAAAAACTTTTTATCACCAGTGAAGCAAGCCTATTCTATCCATGGAAAATGTTCTAACAGGCTACATTCTCTAGTTCCCCTAGTTCAGACCTTTACAGATAAGACCCGGTTTGCCATATACACAGAGATGGATCATCCTCATTCCCTATTATTAGGAAAGAAGTTCCATTCGTACAGCTTCTTCCCAAGAGCCAATGCTTTATGGAACACATTCACGAGAGGATGTTTCCCCACCACGACAATATTAACCTCTTCAAGTCTCGGATCAACTGTTAATTTATTATATATATCCTCACAATGTTCAATTCTAACATCCATAAAACAACCCCATTCAATAACCGTCTATCTTGTGTGGCACTCGAGAAGTGATTTGGGGGGACCATAACGTAAAAATAGCAGAGTAGACCTGGTTCTCTAGCTTTGATTAGCAACTAGTCTGAATTCAAAACTAGTTGGGTGTGAAGCTAGTAACTCTACATCATGAAAATCAACTTGTGGTGAGTCTGTGGCCCTATACTCCACAGTGGAGTCTACAGGGTTAACAACTTCCCCTCATAAAAACCTTGTTGCCATAGAAACCAAAGCAGCAACGCCTAACGTTCTGTGGTTGTGGCTCTATTCTCCACAATGGTAGGAGGAGAATGGAATATTCACGATATGAAAAACATTTTATAAATACTGGTACTAAAATAACAAATAAAAAAGGGATATTTTTTGTGATGGCATAGTAAGGTTAAGCTTATCAATAAAGCTGTTTTCAACTGGTCATATATGAAAAACTGTTTTATTAAAAATCGCAACACCTAATTTGAAATGCGCTTTCAGCGCAAAAATATTCAAAATTGCGTTACTGTTTTTGTACAGATTTTACTAAGTGTAAAGGATATTCGCGATCAAAGTACATTCCAAAATGTTTAAGTGAGAGTATTTCTAATTTCCGACTGACACGCCTAAGATGCGTTGGTATATATCATGTTTTCGAGTTTATGCCAAAATTTGCAAGGGGTGCTGAAAAAACGACTCTAATAGAAAAACAATTGCTACTACTTGCCAGTGTTGTTCAACAATGGTTTCTATAACAAAATATTAATTGCTTTCATATGTTTCTCGTTCATTCTCCCTGCAAATATAATTCAGACACCAAATGTTCTCATTTTCATTTTGGTTTCTCCCTTCAAATCATTATATGTATTTTTTTTCTGAGGATAATTAATTAGTGTCAGTATATAGGAAATCGATTTTAAAGGCAAACTTATGAAAAGAAAAAGCAATAAATATGTATTTTGCATTCACGATTCTCATTACGAATGCTGCTGTTTTTATGTTTACCTAACAGAAAATACTTTTTTTTAAATTAACAGTGTTATATATTTTTAATATATTTTTGAAAACTATTAATGAATTTTTGTGGGAGTTTTATGGACCTGTAATGAAACAGAAATCTTATTTAACAATTAGAAAAAGAATCAAATCTGGTTTGAATATTTTCGAAAACCTTATACGCACGTACACTAATCAATTGTTATAAAAGTAACACCTTCCTAATTATAATAGACAACTGACTAATAAATTAATTGTTCATACTTAATTCATTTCATGTCTTTTGGGTACAATAGAGTTTGTTATGGTTGCATTATAGACCGACTAAGAAAGGAAAACGTAAAAGATGAACTGCAAAACAAAAACTGATCAAAAGATAAAATATTGCAAATTTGTACAAATAGTCATATAAATATTAATAAGATTGACTGTATTCTATTATTTACTAATTAAATGTTGATTACCTATAACTATAATTTTCAAAATAACCTTTATATATTTTAATTTTAAAATTGATAAAAAATACTTTCTTGTATTTGAAATTAAAATTTATATAGTTTTGCTTCTATCTGATTTATGTATGTGTTGAACATTAAATCGCTGGTTGCATTAGCACATAATCTAAATCGTTCAGTATGTGATGATTAATATGCACAAAATGCATGGCGGGGAATTTCTTTTATAATTAACACGATGAGTGAGGAAACTCAATAGTGACTAACCAGACGACAATAAGATAATCGCTGCCAGATTCACATATTTAACATTTCCGAATGTGTGTCGCTAAAAGTGCAAAAACTTGTTAGTTACAAACATTATGATAAACAGTTAACTTCTTCAAATCATTCCAAGTTGCTGTGTTTTTCGTTATTCCGAATCATTTCGCTTCGCAATAACCCGGATTATAAATATTTACTATGAACTGCTTATTTTGGCTCAAGGCTACACTGGTAGGGCAGATCGAACTCTTACACGAACGAATTCGTGTTCTCTCCGATAGTTTCAATTAAAATGACCAGCCATATGTTTGATAAAAACTAAATCATATTTATTTATGAAAAAAAATAGAAAAACTGCTTAGATATGTAACAAATTCATCTTTTTTCTTAATGAAAGTTTTAAAATGTCTTCTCCAAATGGACGTGAAAACATTCAGTTTAGTTTGAAAGTTCTTAAAACATTTTTTTAATCCATTTACTTTCTGGTTTCTGCAGACGTTTTACTGTCTGGGAGTTAAAGAGAAAATATTTCAAAACAATTGTTTACTGATAAATCTTACAAAATGACCATTTCTATTAATAAACAAAACATGAAATGAAAGAGAAAGAAAAATGAACAATATTTGAGCAAAATCTTCATTATCATAAGAAAAATACAAACAGTTTTCCGTTCAATACTCTTGAAATTTGGGCAAATGAATTCACCGAATTCTATCTACCTTTGTTAGTGGTAAGTTCCTTTGACATATTATCAGTTTTCGCTAAGAAAAGAAGGCGAGGTTGTTGAAAAAAATGACTCACAAATCAACAACTCTTATTTCCAAGAGACAAGATAGTAAGCTGCTTATGTTTACATACTGAAAAGGTTTAAGCATTTCATGGAAATACGAACGTTGCTGTATGTAAGAGGAAGGAGTGCATACCTCCAGAAGAAAGACGAATAAATATAGAAGGTCATGCGAAAATAGCCAAATACGTTATTCACCGATTAATGACAATAAATAATTTGTTTAGAACCTAAATCATCATTTCAAGAGGATTCTAGAAAAGTTAAAACACACATAGAATGTTTTAGCAAAATCAAAATGTAGTGTAAAGATCAAATAACAAAATACCAGAATATTATAACAAGAACGTAAAAAAAAATATAATGATAATAACTGATAAGAAATATAAAAACAATATGAGAATAATATTCACTACAAAATGACAACGGAAATAATAAAAACGATATAATGATGATATTCTATAAGAAATATACAAATATACAATAATGAGAAAATATTTACGACAAAAGTAAATATAAAAATAGTAAAATTACACATTTCTGTATTTCATTGTTTTAATTTTGCGCTGAATGTTAGTAATTATGATAATGTCGATAATTATGATAATAATAATAATTATGATAATGATTATTATACCAGTAAAATAACAAAATAATATCAAAATAATTGCAATGTTTCCTTTTTCTATTTTAATCAGTCATATAAACAAACTCGCTAACCTTCACTTCGTAGATAAAAATAGCCAGAAAAGAAAAAGGAGAAAAAAACAACTTCCAATCACAAAGTAAATAAATATATCATCTTCTATTAATTAATAAAAATAGGGACTGAATTTACTTACCTGATGTGCAACTTTAGGTATGCGGAATTGAAAAAGAGGTTTGGTGCCACCTTCACTTGGATCCAATTCACTGGATAATTCTGCCAAATCAGCCACGTTACCGTCAGAATAGCCGTCGTGTATCCATTTGATGGAACGTTTCTGACGTTTAGCAAACATTGTAGCGCCACGCGCTTTGCTATTGGCTGCTGCCGTCAGCGATTGAGAGATCTTCTTACATAATTTTATCTGTTCCTCTATGGTTGGGTAGACACCTTTTGGATCATAGTAGAACGAGGAATCCGAGTATATGTTCTCTGTAGAGGAAATAAAATTAGCGAAATATGTTTACAATATAGAACCATAAAACTAATTCAAACATTGAGAATGAAGATGAAGTTCTTTGATAACAACTGGCACTTCAACAGGAAGAAAATACATTCCAGAAATCTAACAAGTTATAATTCGAGCAAAAGTCCCCCAAAACTTTAGCAATACAAACCTTTCTAGGCAAAATATAATAATAATAGCAAATCAATTCAATTTGCCATTTAAATTATTACCACGACTGTGGTTTTCTCTTTAAACTGTCAGCCTCCAAATTCACTGACTAAACCTCAAATTTAAGTAAATTTTTGTGGCGTACATATATTAAAAATATTTACGACTTTTATTTGTATTGCATGCATATTTTTTGTATGTCTGAATGTTAGAGACCTTCTTAATCTTATTTCGTATTACATAAGTTTTTCAAATAATTTTATTGATTTGTCACAAGAATCAAATATCAGTTAAACTTATTTGCAAATTGTTATTGATTTTTAGAAAACCTTGAGGTTTAAGCGAAGTATTTTTCTACTTGATTATTTGGAAAATAATATCACATTATTAGAAGTAGGCATCTACTGCGAAATAATGGTTAAACAGCAAATAACAAAACCAAGATTTCGTTTAACTAATTTAACTGGGTGTATATTGTTTATAATAAAGTCTAACGCCATAAGAAATCAAATATATTAATGAGGCTCACATTCATTATTTTATGCTACATAAATTTCATAAAATCAATCATGTAGAATTAAAAATTTGCTGTCCCTAAAGTATCATCGCGCAGAATACGTATCAAGTTTGAAAAGATTGACTGTAATATTTGCGATAAGCATTGACGATCAGTTTAGATAATCTTTTGAAAGCATTTGACGCAGCAGATGCACGGTCAGTGCATATGTTCTTTTTACAAAAAGCATCAGGATCAATCAAACAAATCCATCTCAAGTAAATTAGAAATAAATCTGGAAATTTGGGTTTCCTTGAGTAGAATGAAACAGTAAGTAACTTATCTAACGAGTTTGTGTAAATGCTTCGTAGAACAATGACTGAGATGGTAACACTTGTTTAGAACTACGAAGGATAGGACGTTTTCACTGGATTTTTACGGATGAGAAGATGAGATATGCAAAACCTGGTATTTTTCACCATATCAAACGAAACTCAATAGTTAAACCACAGAAGTGTTATTATGTTCCATCATGATAGGTATAGTCTGCTGATCGTGAAGAACACAAGCTTGTCTACATGAGAAATACGAAACTTTAGTAAACAGAAACTCTTACAGCATAAATACGCAAGGTCATTTGTTAGCAAAAGAAATCAATGAGAAAATAAAATCATTAGGTTTTACTATATATTCACCGAACCAAGAACCTTCAGATTATTGTTTCCTTCATTAGAATTTTTCTTCAGATGACTTGAACGTTCAATTCGTCTGAAGATTGCGTGAGACTCGGGTCACGACTAAAGCTATCCTTTCATAGGATTTAACATGGTTAAGCGTTTTTTGCTCGCTCTAGATATATCGAAGGCGTTTGGTAGGGTTTGGCCTGCTGGCCTTCTATGTAAGCTTCAAGGGGATACTGTATTACAGGACGATTATTTGATTTAACCCAATCATTCCTGTTTAACCGTTAAATAAAGTTTGTCCTGAACGGGTTCTCTTCTAGTTCCTTCCATACGAACGCTGGTATTTCTCCAGGCTCTATCCATGGTTCTACATTGTTTCTGATCTTTATCAATAATCTTCCTGATGTCATCAGCTCTCAAGTAGGCATCTACGCAGACGACACTACCATTTACTCCTGCCTCAATAGTAAATCTGGCATTGCTGACAAAGTTAACCTGGGGGAAGGAAATGACTTGTGAATTTTAATGCATCTAAAACGAAACTGCTGTCATTTACTCACTATAAAGAAACTTTTCTACCTCCTATCAGCATGATTGATGCTCAACTCTACGAGAGCACCTCACTGCGGCTTCACGGTCTCGCGTTCTCCACTGACCTGAGATAGAATAACTACATTGAATCAATAGCTGCATCTAACGTAAATAAAGTTGAGTCCATCCTTCACATCTATAAATCTACCATTCGTCCATGCATAAAATACTATTGGCATATATAGTCTGGTGTCCCCGCTGTTCATCTCGAAGTTCTCAAGAAAATCAAAAGAAGGATATGCAATGTGATTGGTTCTGACTTGGGGTCTCGAACTCCAGTTACTTTCTTAAGGATGTAATATGGCTTCTCTCTGTCTTTTCTATAAATATTTTCATGGCATCTGCTCTGACGTGCTACTTTCACTGGTAACCCACTGCATGAATTTAAGCGTGCCACTAGGTTGGCATCTCGGACCCACCCTCTCACTGTCGAAACAGTTAAATGTAACTGCTTCTTCTACTCCAACAGTTTCTTCTCTCGCACTTCACGACAGTGAAACTCCTTTCCTCTTACTTGCTTCCCTGATATTTATAATCTTCAAAAATTTAAATGTAATGTCAATCCACATCTTTTAGTGCCTTTTTCCCCATTCTTCTTTTTATCCTTTCTTCAATTCCTCTATACCCAGTCTTTTCCCTTACTTTCACTCTCTGTAGCCCGTTGCGTACTAGTGGCACTCGAACCTTGCTTGGAGTGAAATGCTTATATATATATATATATATATATATATATATATATATATATATATATATATATCGTAAATACTAATTCAAGACAACTTCTCCCTTAGAAAAAAGTTACAATTTGAATATTCGTCTTTATAAAAAAAAGTCATCATAGTAAAAAAGAATTTTTTGATTTGCATCGTCATCTTTATTTTGCATTACAAATGTAAGTTGATGATTTAGTGGTACAATCAACAGAAAAAATTGCCAAGTATTAAGTCAAATGTTTACGTCATAATTATCGGGAACATCACCTTTTTTTCTTTCTCTCTGAAGACATTCATGTTAATGTGTCTTGAATCTCGAGAATCTGTGTCAACTCTACGTTTTATTGGCCCAAACACTAACGCTTAAAATTTCCTGGAAATAATTTAAATTTAATTTTAAATACAGTCAACCAGATCTAATCAAAGACTGGAACATTAAATCTTTCTTCATTTTAAAAATTTTATATTCCCCGAATAGATATTAGATTTTTTTTTCATTTAAATGAAGTAAAAAATGCGAGAATTAATATAGCAAAACCTCAAAATAAAAAAATCTAATGAAACACTTTTATTATCCTATTAGTTTTTAGCGAGTAAGATAAATATAAACATGTAGTCAAGACTATATAAAAATTAACGTTATTTCTTTATATATTTTCGTGTTACGCTCTATGGAATTAGATAGGGAAAAATTAATCAACACTATATGATAATTACTGTTGTATATTTTTTATTTGGTTATATCTTTAATGTCATGTCCTCTATAACTAGATAGGACAAAACGAATAACCTTTATAATTCATTCAATAATATAATAGGGAATTTCTTTTAATAAAGGGCATAGCAATGATGTTATCTTTAACTTTTTATGCCTGTTATATTATATATGGAACAATGTAGAATATAACCTCTTCAATGACTGGTGTATATCATATATGACACACGGTATGTCATCAGTTCTATAATGCCTGTTCTATCGTATAGAACATTAGAAGATAGATTTAATTACAGATAACTGTAAAACAGTCTTCATTTTTCGCGGCATGGGTACACTATATATAATTAGATAGTTTAAAATTAATAGTACTCGTAATTTTAGAATTTATTTTAACCAAAAATATTTAAATATTTATCACGTTCATTTTAAATTGAATTTTTCCGGCAGTTTTTATAGGATTATTCACCTAGTGTAGGTACGAGCAATATTTAATTTGTTGAGAAAAATTTATATTCATATTTTTTCGAGGGTCAGTGCTATCAATGATATATATATATATATATATATATATATATGTGTGTGTGTGTGTGTGTGTGTGTGTGTGTGTGTGTGTGTGTGTCTTCACTGATTAATCTTAGCATTATATAAATCGATTTTTCTCAATATCTTTTCATGTTAAAATATTGTGTTTAATATAACAGTGCCTGGAAATGGAAAAAGATGATTAGCAACAGAATGATGAAGACGACCATGTTGAAGCAAAGACAAAGGTTATTGAGTGCCTCGCAAAAAAGAATTGAACAAATAAAACTGCAGTCTAAGAAATATAGAAGTAAAGGACCCGGGGTTTTTAATTAAACGGGTTCATTGGCATCTATTTTAGTTATGAATTTCGTATTTTTAGTGAATCTCAGTACATTGTTTCAAAACTGTTCTATACTTTGATCTTCCAGTCTCTAGTCTGTGTTCCTCTCCTATCTCTTCGCTGATCTTGCAATGGAAGAAATGAAAATCAATGATAATCAAAATTTGGATTTCGTCTTTTTTAATGTTTTTTTCCTTTGTTCTTCTTTTTTGAGACGTTGACCGATAAATGCAGATTGAAATCTCAGTAATGCTTTGATAATTTTCTCTAATGCCTTGTCTGGTACTAACTGAGGTACGTTAACGAAAAAAATGGCTTCAGTTCAATTAATCTTTTAGGCCTTAAAAATGATAATTCTTCATCAGACCCTGCAGACTGGCGCTACAAAATCACAAAGATCTTTACTAAATTAAAAAAAAGTCCGCATCACTTGAAGAAATACGTTAAAGTCTTGACAAAGAAAATATATGAGCCTGGAATTACTAAATGTTCGTCTCTACAATTTTTAGTACCCTGTTTATAACCATTTTGCAGGTTAGGCTTTGCGAAGATTACCAAAGTAGTTATAAAAGTGCTTTGGGGAGATTCTACAGTTTCTAAGAAAGAATCCTTATGCTACTCAGTTCTTTTCATACAAATACAGCATTTGAATCGGTCCAACTAATTCATTGAAATGTAAACTATCAGAAATTACTGACTCAAAATCTGTATTTACACATCTGCCTACGGTGGCGGTATGTGACACAAAGT